TAAATCTTTAATCCAGTCTTGTTTTGTCTTGCAAGGGGGTAGGACTTTGGCGAAGGTCTGCACACTTTTATGGAAAACAGCTGTAGTTTTTGCTCATTTCAACTGTTCAACGCCCTGTACTTTTGCTATCGTACACAGACATATTCATTTTTTCAAAGCTTATTTTTTCCAGTTAGTTAGCTTGTTTCAAAGCGAATTCTATGGGAATTTTTCGACAACCTTTTCCTTATGATTTGGATTTTAAAGTGTAGTTTAACCACTGGTTTTTTTTGGGCAGCAGTCTTTGCTCGCAGCTGTTCGGAAAAATCTCGTGTGCTGAGGCCCTTTATTTTCTCTTTTCAGAAAGGAAACCTGTCATGCTCTTGCCGTCTTTTTCTATATCTGATTCCCATGAAATTAATTTTGCGGGTTATTAAAACGAATTTGAATGGATCGTTTTCGGAACACAACTAGGTTCTGATTGTAGTATTTAGACCATTGAATATATTCGATATTTCAGATGTTGATAGACAATGCTTATTTCACCTGTATACCACCAGAAGTGGAAGAACAGCCACTGGTTGAAAGTGAACCACTTCATGATTTCATATATTTCCTACTCAGTAATGTCAGCAGGGTTCGGATGGAACTTACCGTCAGATGCCTCAGGAAATTAGATTGGTCCGATCCAGTTGTCGCCGGTCAGTCTAATATTTTTTGGTTCCTATCACAAATCAATATTTCTTTCTAAATGTTACGTAGGGACAGTGTCATCTTGTCGTTTAAAAACTGGGGTGCGGACTGTGTAGGTGTGGGTCTTGCGTATTTAGATTTCATGGAGGAAAAAGGTTTTGTCACCGGTGGCTAGGAGTTGGGGCTGGGTAAGGGATGGGCAGGCTTATGTAGTTTTGGCAACAAAATAAAATCCACGCTGTCAGCTTCGTTAAAACTTCTTTGTTCCACGTGACAAAATGTGATTTTGGCACGGCTAAAAGCAACCGCTCAGACAACTTTTGAGAAATGGCAACTGTGCATATGGGTCCCCAGGTAGATAGTAGCTGGCTGTTGGGGATTTTGAGTGCTGCCCTTGTTGAGCTTTTCACATCGATAATCCCGGTATTTTTCTGATTTCATCGTATTTATTTGCAGAATTTGCGATTCATTGCCTCAGTAACCCGTTACTGCCGCGTTACTCTGACGTTCCTCATCTCGCCTCAGTTGTTGCTGAATTGTGTTCGTGTCATGAGTGGATTGGTTAGTCTTATTTTTCTTCCATCTTTCTGCATGTTTCAGCTTGGAGCATTTGGCTTCATTGGGTTGAAAAATCCCTTCAGATTTTTAGTTCACATTTGTTCCACATCAAGTACTTTACAGCAGTTTCATTTTGCCGATTTATCTTATTCACCTTCCTTTTATTCCTTTCTTTTTAACCCTTACTTTTTACATAAACACA